TTGCCTGCCTATGTCCTTAGACCAACACGGCTACAACCAACACCCCTGAAATTTTGACGCACTTTTGGACGAGTTCCGTGTTGGTCTGTGCCTTTTGTAGAACTGCTGAGCTGTGCTGAAGTGTGATAGGCTTTCTCCTACAGTGAAAGTTCATATTTTCAAGGGGAAACAACATAAAATTCACTGGTATGTTCCCGTTTTTCATCTGCAGTTACCTAAGGACTCATTCAGGCACGAACACTACAGCATTAGGCAGCGGCAGCCAGATTCAGAACAGAGGACAGGCAGAGCAGCAGAGTGGCTCTGCTCCCCACGCTAAATTAATCGGGTTGATAAATCTAGGGGACAGGCAAAGCTAAGGCTGTACTCCCCCCTTCTTCCCCACAGCAATTCCTAATGATCCAAATTTGAATGGAAGAGAGTTCAAGAGGGGGCCGAATCAGCCACACACAAATCATTTCATCCTCAGCTCCGCAGCGGTCTGACACTGCAGCAGTCCCTGCACAGAGGAAGGGGTAAGACACGGCAAGTTTTTCGAAGCTACTAATCGGAAGGAGGGAAGCCAGATGTTAAATATCTGAGAGGCAGTTCGCCCTGTTAGCGTGAAGTCAGGGTAGATACGCACCTTCTAGACTAACTCAGCAGGCTATACAGAGAGCGTAAGTGAACTTGAGCTCATTTCATCGGACGTTAAATATTTATGTTAAATATCTGCTGAGGGACACAAAGCTTGAGCACTCATGGGTGTCTCTGCCTGCTTTCCTATCACCGCTCCCGGTGGGTGACCCCGAGTGTTAGAGGAGAGTGTTTCAGTGCGGCTGGCATTGGGTCTGCCCTTGGGTGAGGTCTGGGACATGTGTACTCCCAGGCCAGGCAGTGGGAAAGGGTGCACCGACACACTTGGCACTAGCAGCAAAAGCCCGAGTTAGACCCAACTACCCTCTAGAAATCTCCCTCACCCATGCACACACACACACACACACACACACACACACACACACACAAAGATCCTGCACATGCACACACACACACAGAGTAAGATCCTACACACACACACATATACACACAAAGATGCCTCCCCACGCACACATACACAATCATTTTGAATGGTTCCCACAGTCCCTTTCCCCACTATCACATGAAAACAAAACCTGAAATCTCCCCCCAGCTTGACCCACAGCCCACTCGGGTCACAGCAGCAGGCCTCTGCATGGCTTTCAGCACAAGGGTCTGAGATGTACATTTTAAGACTCCTCAGTCCAGCATCTCGGGCTGCGCATTGTCACCGCACCCGGACATTTCCCACCAAGACAAATGGCCGGGCAAGCCTGAGCCTGGTGTCCGCGTCAAACAAAGTGGAGCCTCTGGGCTTGCGCACAGCCCTTGCTCCTTCCTGGGATGCGATGACCTGCTCAACCCCAGAAAGCAGCATCAGACTGGCTTGGGCGGTGAAGGGAATGGCAAAGGGCAATTTCCCATCATAACTCAAGCTCCAGCTGGATGGACTCAGAACCACAAATAAGAACCAGCCCCCACAAAAGTCAGGGCCTCCTAGCTCTCTCTTGCAGGCTCAGCAGGAGGGGAAAGCAATCCCATGCATACAGTAAATGCAGATGGGGTCCATGAGTCCACAGCCTGAGGCCACAAGGCAGCTCAGAACAGATTCCTACGGTGCAGATACAGGGGCTAGGAAATCAGAGGCTGGCTGTGTGTGCAGGAGACAAGAGGCCAAGGGAAGGAACCGTAAGTGTGTCCACAAAGAGAGACAGTGTTTCTTGGGTCCCGGGCTCTCTGGAGGGGCAGACAGGGAGTTTTGGGGCTGCTGCTTGTGTCTCCTGCCCCTGGCAAGCAGGGCTGCATGATTGTGCATCCTTTTGTTAATGGGCAGAATCGCACCAAAGTTAGACCTGAGTCACTTCAGCTATTTGTCTTCCTCCTGGAAGCAACCCTGCAAGGCTCTACACTTAGCTTAGCCCCCTGGGGCAGCGACTTAACACAAAAGAGAGGCAAATCTGTGTCTGCAAACGTTCCTTTTTGCTGCTCATGCAGAGCAGACAAAAAAAGCCTCTGCATTAACGCGGGACATGATGGATGGGTTGGGCTGGTGCTCTGTCCTGATTAACAGAGGCTCCTTGGCACTGGCTTTGCCCTCACGGCCATGACCTACCATTACCCCTGGAACTGGGAGTTGATTACCAGTGTCTTTGACATCCAGTGCACGTTACACTTGTCTAGTCAGACACCCCAGGGGAGCTGAGGGCTGAACCTCACTTGCTGCTCTTGGGTTTGGCATGATGCTATCAGGTCGCGATGCTGCACTGCAATGGGGTGGGACGTCACATCCCAGCACTGTGGCTTTGCATTGCAATGCAATGAGACATCAGTGTAATGACAGACAACCCTGCCACGTTTGGGAAGTGCAGCCTCGGTCAAAGAGCCTGAGGTCAAAGCCCCGCTTTGACCCTAGGGCTCTGGGCGGTCCATTAGTAATGCTGTGAGTCCCTCTCTCTCTCTAGCCATGAAAAAGGCTTCAGGAAATACACAGGTCTTTTAATACCCTCCTTCCTATGTAAATATTTTGAAGAATCAGATTAGTTTCAGCTGGAAAGAAGAGAGGCCAGATCCACCCACGGATTTGGAAATACGTGTCTCAGGTCAAACGTCTCCTTTTGGCTGCTAGTTGCAATTGTTCCCAAAGAAACAGGCTTGTTTTTGAGTAGCAATCGAAGCACCAGTTCACTCTGAAGCCCTGACCTGTCCCCTGGGCACAGCACGCTCCTCTGCAGAGAGGTCCCCTTGGTAGCCAGGACCTCTCCAGGGAAGGGGAGAAGCCAGCACAGGACAGCACCATTCCTTGGAAGAGATGGTGGTGCTGGAGATCAGGCTCTGCAGAAGGCAGGTCCAAGTGCTGCTAACCCCAAATGGCATTACCATCTAAGAGCAGGTGCCAGCAAACACACTTGAGATGGAGCAGGGGGCAAGACAGCATCCGTTCCTGGGTTTCACCGTAGCGTCCCCAGCATGGCTCAGAGGCTGGGTAGCCGTGTCCCTGGGGGCAGGTTTGCTCTTGCCGTGCAATGCGTAACTGCACAAGAGCTGATTGACTGGAGCAGCTGCTGCAATTGGATTCAGAAGGGAAAATCCAGATCATTGCACTGGCTGCAGTTACTATGAGCTGAAGATGTTTTGCTCGGCCACACCGATTGGAAACCATACAGGAAGCAACCGCATCCACCTCGGCTTGGCCTGCTGAGGAGTTTGCTCTGCTTTCAAACTTAAAGCTTCCCTAATTGAGGGGAAGGAGGATGGAAAGAACTGGTAAAACACTGGGGCTGTGCAAATCCCCGCTCTGCTGCACACTCCCTGGGAGTCTGAAATCACAGGGCTGGGGCAGGGATTTGCTCACCGTGCATGTGCATGCATATGGCACCAGTGTCCCGGTCACAGCTGGAGGCAGCGTCACAATGTTGTTACTACTACTGATTAAAAAATATGTCACCAATGAAAGAGAATTAGCTGCTGGCATTTTGCGAAATGTGAGTTTGCACACACATCCATCTCCACCAAGCAGAGCTTTGCACGCACTGTGTGCTGCTACCACAGCAAGACAAAGCACCGCACAAGTACCTGGATCCAGACCGGCTCCACTGTGGGCCCGGGGGACGTGAGGTTCTCCCAGTTGCCTGTCCTCTCGTAGGTGAAAGTTGTCCCGGCCACTTTGTAGTCCCCGTTCCACTGGATGGTCCAGCCGCCATTCAGGAAGTATTTCTCAGGATCTTCGCTCCTCAAAGCTAGAAAATTCCCGGCTTCTGCCACCTCTTCGATCCTAATCTCACGGGCTCCAGCAGGGATCATCCCAATGTCAACATAACCTAGGGATTTCATCACATGTCAGTCTCAGGCAGTCAAGGAAACACTGGCAGATAAATCAATTGCTTCTGGTCCAGCTGCTAAAGTAATAACAACCAGGGTGGATTTGAGCTAGTGGCATCAGTACTAAAATGTACTAGAGTCCTGGTGAGATTGCTTTTTCTTTCTAACATGCTGCAAGTTTTATTTTATGTTGAACCAGGCTGGGCTTTTTCTCTGCAGGAATTATAAAATCACAGACAATGAGGGTGGGAAGGGACCTCAGGAGGTCACATCTAGTCTAACCCCCTGCTCCGGGCAGGACCAGTCCCAACTACATCATCCCAGCCAAGGCTTCAAAACATCCAAGGATGGAGACTCCACCACCTCTCTGGGGAAACTGTCTGTGACCCTCCTAGTGAGAGAGTTTTTCTTAATATCTAAACAAAACTAGACTTTCCTTCCTGCAACTTGAGCCCACTGCTCCTTGTGCTGTCAGCTGCCCCCACCGAGAACAGCCCAGCTCCATCCTCTTTACAGCCCCCCGCTGCTATTCCACTATATAAGGGTGGATATTCCACTACAGAATGACAAATATCCCTAATGACCCTTGTCAAATGCATTTAGTGTACTTTTGCCTTGTCCCCAATGGAAATGCCAGCCGTCTTACAGCTTTGGTTTAACTGAAGCCATAAAAACAGTCCCAGCACTTTAAAAACAAGTCAGGGCTGTAGGAGCAGGGGGTCTCCAGAGATAGGTTTCCTCAGATACCCCTGAATCAGGAAAGTAACTCCACATCCGTCTGTGCTAGGGGCTGGATCTTGGTCCCATTGAAGCCAATTACAAAGCCACTAATTAATAACTGACTAATCAAGGACCAAGATTAAAAGGCAACTTCAAGCCTTCTGTCTCCAGCTAATGAAATGGGTGCCATCAAAGGAACTTTTTCTATAGCTTCCTGAATGCACCAGCCACAGCCCCTGAGAGCAAGAGCATGGGCACCAATTTATTCCGTCTTTCCCCTGCAGCCCTGACTAACAGCCTTATTAACCAGTGCCTGTTTGTAGCCCAATCCCTGACTGTGCTGCTGCTAGAGGGAAAAACTACATTTGCAGATGGTGGGTATTTATTTTAAGAACATTGTTTAAAACTACCCAGCCTAAATCTTTTCCCTTTCATCCTCAAATAGGCAAGATCTTCATCTTTGACTTAACCTCAGTCACTGCCTTGCAGCGAAGGGTCCTGGCACTTCAACGAGACGGTCTCGTTGTGTCCCTGCTTAGAAAGGAAGCGCTGTCATTGTCTGTCTCATTGCAAAAACCCTCTGCTGAAGGTCTGGTGGTTTCACAGCCTGCACTGCCTGCATGAATGCTGCTTACAGAGCCCACAGCACCCCCTTTCCTAAGGAAAACCATCAGTCCTCTATCATCCATGTTTGCTTGGTCTTTTGGGTCTCATCCCCCTCTAAACAAGCCCCGTGGCAGGATGACTGCTTTGCCTTCTCACACAGGCAGCCTTACCCAGCCCCTCGCTCTCCTCGAATGTCTTCTTCACTGTCTGGCAGGTGGACCCATCACCGTGGCACACGCCGCAACGGTCCTCGATGGCGTTGGAGTCGATCTCGTAGTCGCAGCCCACGTTCTGAAACACAAGAGCGCCTGCGGCTCAGACTCAAGACCCAACCTCCTCTTCAAAGGCCCCTGGTTTCTGGCAACAAGAGGCCCATAGTTGTTCTAGCACAAAAACTATATGATAAATGCAAATGGCTACTAGTTCTTACAGAGTTAGAAAATGCCCAGCAGCCCAGACAGCTCTAATAATGGAAATGGAAATGCATGGACTAGGATGCTCTCCATGGGCTTGCTTCACTCCCTTTCTGGGCCTGCCTGTGAGCCTTTATCTATACTTGCAATTCTTTCCATTTTCTACACATTTTGTACAAAAAGTGGGGGATAGGGCCTTGTTTATAAATATCCAGTCTTTCTCTACCCCGCTCTTCCATGCGGAATCAGCTTTATGGCAGGGAAATGTTGAGCTCTGCTGCACATTCATGCCAGAGACCCTACTCCCACTGCTCTCCCGATGAATCTTCTGTGCAATGCCAGAGATCCAGGGCTAATGACACCCTCCTATTCTGGGTGCTGGGGCCAAATGCGTCACCTTTCGGTACTGCAGGAATCCATTTGATTCCAGTTCAGGGACAGCTCTGGACTGAATGCCCAAAGGGGCCCTTCTGTGCTACTACAGGGGTAGATGCACTTGAGAGCAATAGAGACCCTTTGCCCTTGGCGCGTGAGGGAAGGAATGGTGTTATTTTTTTGCTTCCGTGGGAGCTGTTCAGGAAGTTAGTTTAACGCTGGTGTCAAAGACCAACATGGTGCCAGCCGCTGGGACATGAAGCAGATAGGACTGTTGTGTGTGCTATAATGGGCTGACAGGTCTTGGCAGGCAGTTGTCAGTTCTCACTTCCACTTGAGCGTGTCACTAAAAGGTTGTGCCCCTTGCGTGCTTGCGTCAGCCTTAGGATGCTGCCCATAAAGCAGACGAGCAGAACGGATGTGACTGCCACACTGCTACTGGGCAACTGACTCCAGAACAAGGAACAGGGGACGTTTCCATGAATGTCTGTGATGTACACGGCTGCAAGGAAACTGGCTTATTTCCCCTGCTCCGGATGGAGGGCATGAGCCCAGCTGCCCACATGGGCCCGGGGACGCCGTGTAGCAGTGCTGCTATCCTGCACTTGTCGGCTTCCCTCACGCGCAACAAAGTCCGGAGCAGACAGTGCCACGTTTCCTCTGCTGCATTGGGAGCCAGCCTTTCTGGGGGGTGTCTCACTCCCTGAGTGTCACTCTGGTCCCCTTCCCCTGCCCTGCCTGTGATCCGCTTTCTGTTCCCTGCCCTGTGCTCCTTATCTGATCTGCTGCTCTGCTTTCTGCTCCCTGCCCTGTCGGATGCTCTGCTTTTCATTCCCTGCCCTGTACTCCTCATCCAATCCGATGCTCCACTTTCTGCTCCCTGCTCTATCTTCTGCTCTGCCTTCTGTTCCCTGCCATATCCACGGCTCTGCTTTTTACCCTCTGCCCTGTACCCCCATCTGATTTGCTGCTCTACTTTCTGTCCCTGACCTATTTTCTGTTCCCTACCACACCCATGGCTCTGCTTTCTGCTCCCTGCCTCTGTCTACTGCTGTGCTGTCTGCCCCCTCACTGAGCTGCTGTGAGCCCACACACACAGGCTCTGCCCCTGCCACTGGTGGCACACATGCCACGGGTTGCCCCCCCTGCTCTGCTGAGTCCCACTTCTCTCTCCAGTCAGCAGCTGTGAAGACTTCAGTGCCTTCAGACCCTCAAGCCCACTCAACGTTCCTGCTCCGGGTAGTGCTGGCAAGTAACTCGGCCACCGGCAGGAAGCTGAGCATTTCTCTCCCCCTCCCTGTCCAGGGGAGTTCCCTTTCTATGCATTTCCTCCCACACCGGGGTCAGAGCGGCCGGATGAGCAGGTGGCTCGACCCCATTGCTGGCAGTGCACAGGCTAAAGCATCCACTGTGCGGCTTGCACTAATGCAGCATAAACAACACACGCTCCCGTTCCCGAGCTCGACCGCTCAGCTTGAGCCAACCCCAAGGCTCCCACCCCTTGCATCCGGGGTGGGAGACAAAGCCGAGCAGGCCAGAGCTGGAACGTGGTCCCAGCGCAGCAGAGCTGCGGCACTGCTCTTACACCCCAGCACGCCCAGGCTGTGAGACTGTAGGCTGAGGAGCAAGAGTGAGCTCGCCAGAGGTTTCCCTGTGCTGGGAAGGCAGGACAGCCTGTGCCTGGGTGGTCTGCAGGTTCATGCAGCTGGTCGCCATCCAGGCCTGGAACGAGGTGCGGCAATGGGGTGGGGGCTGGGGAATGGACTCACCAGGCATCCACCCCACCGCCTGGGGCCCCTGGAGGCAGACACTTGACCCCATGCAGGTGGCGAGCAGCAAGCAGTGCCCGGGCTGGAGCACGGGGGGTCGCCACGTCCAGCCCCGGGGAACGTGTGCATGGTGCATCTGAAAGTGTCTGCACCTGCAGCTGCTCTGGGGGGTAGCTGGGTCGCAGGCTCCAGGCACTTGTCAAGGGCAGGAGGTGGGAAGGAGCCTAAGCTGAATCATCTATAAGTGCCCTGATCTTGAGAGCAGGAGCGACTGTCAATGGCAGCCCATGAACTACCAGAGACTAAAGCTACGGCTGAGGTTGGTCCATCCATTGCAAGACCAAGACACCCTGAATGGCTTCTTAGGCCTGCGACCGAGTGCCCATCTGATACCATCCGGATGCTTTCCATTAAATCCAGGGGTGCTGGCCGAGGGCCTATGTCTGTGGGCCAGAGCAGGACTTAAGAGGCTTTGCTCTGTGAAGACACTTTCTGCTAAAATGCAACGGGTATTTACTCTGCCCTGAACCTCGGGATTACAGATCAGGGCACAGGGTGCTGTGAGAGCAGGATGTAGCCTGATGAACCCCCATTGCCTCTTCACTGAAAACTAAAAAAAAAGCCCTGTGAGGCTTTTTTCAGAGAGGCTCGATTTGTGTCTAGCCAAGTGCATTTTACTAGGAAGATGTTTTGTGTAGCAGTTATAGTCAGCTCTCCATCAGCCTGGCCTCCCACTGCGTCTGCTCATGTTCTTTCTGGATGGGCTGCTCAGCGAATTGCCTCTTGAGGCTGTCTGCCCTGCCTTCCTCATCATCTCACGGTAGACTTTGGACCTCAGGAGGTCACATCTAATCCAAGCCCCTGCTCCAAGCAGGACCGGCCCCAACTACATCATCCCACCCAGAGCTTTGTCTAGCCGGGTCTTCAAATCCTCCAAGGATGGAGATCCCATCACCTCTCTGGGTGACCTGCTCCAGTGCTTTCTGACCCTCCTCGTGAGAGAGTTTTTCCTAATATCTAACCTCAACTTCCCTTGCTGAAATGTGCTGAAATATTCCCTGCAACCCCATGTGCTGGATGGGAGTCAAGGATGGGAAGTGTCATTTCTGCACATGAAAGCAATGATGATGTTCATCATTACAATGTGTGTTTTGAGGAGAGCAGGCAGAGTCTCCACTCTCCCTTCATGCTCAAGCACATGTACCAGAGAGCACTGCCAAGCAACCCCAGCTCTCGCTTCACCTTTATTTAGGAGATTGCTGGTGCAGGGACTTTGCTGAGCTAGGTTCCCATCTATCCCTCAACAACTCTTGTCCTCAGTGACTCACCCGGAGGAGAAGCTACAGGCTTCTCTACACCTAATAGCTCTGCACATCTCTGCAGGGTCCCAAAGTCACATTCCCTGAATCCCAAACATACCTTGCAAATACCATTGATGCAGATGTCCCGGCTGCCGTTCCCGTCGTAGCACGGAGTCCCATCAATGACGGCATCGCGGAGCTTTTCCGCAAAATAGTCGTCTTCTGGGCGGCAGTGCAACTCACACAGATTCACTGGGGGTCCAAGCAGATGCTGAGCAAACCCAACAGGCCAAGAGTATCTGCACCCTCGTGTTCACCTCCTCTTTCCCCCCCACAGAGGCAGGACTCGATCTCTCGGTGCTTCCTATGCTTCCTGGAACATCTCAGTTAAACCTACAGCCATGGCTGTTGATCTCTGTTTCAAATACTTCTAAAGATACCTGAATTGTGATGGCACTGAAAGCTAACCCTACCTGGCACCGAACATAGACTCTGACCAGGAATAATGAAAACAGTTCATTAATAAAAAAATCCACTTAAAAGAGCCCTCTGGCTCTGGAAGTAATACTACTACTACTAATAATAATTAAAAAAAAGGCTCAGCAAATGTAAGGTTGACTTACCATTGTGGAGCACGGGTGTCCACTTGTACAGCTTCCCCTTGTACGGCATGGGGTCGAACTGGCTGCACTGGAGCTGACGGAAAGACGGTTTGTCGGTGGGGCACGGCTTGATGTTACAGATGCGAAACCGCTTCCTCTCACCGAGACAGTATTTCCCGCCATACTTTGGCCTGAGATCCCGCGGGGGAGAGACAACGGTAAATGAGGGGATGCAGTGCGTGAGGATGGAATTTGCTACCATTTCACAGAGTATAAGGGGCCAAGATGAAGCCTTATCTTTTAACAGAGCCCTTTGTAGGGCATTAAGATCCACATAGTTTGCCCCACCTGCTATTTATTCCTATTACATCACTGTAAATCTGGAATAATGTCCCTGGAAGGAATAGTGTTTCCCCAGCGCAGCGGAGAGCAGAAGTTGGCATGCCGCTGGCATGGAGCCCACCCAGCGCTCGGATCCATGAGGGAGGTTTTGGAGGGACAGATGCAGACCTGAACATGCCCTTGGGACAAGGGCAGGGGGGAAGGGAGGCTGTTTGGAGCTAGCTATTTTGGAGAGGAGACAAGGCTGGATTTGAGTTTCTACATCCTGGCAGACTGGGGTCTGGGCTTTGGTTCCAGCCTCTTGCTTGTGTCAGTAAATGTGATTTGCTTGCTTCCAACAGACCAAGGAGCAGGGGAGCATCTTCCTGCAGCTAACAGACCCCAAGAGGAAGCACTGTGGAGGAAGGCTCTTTGTACTGTGGCAGGCAGGCGCTAACAACGCTGTACTTGTAACCACATCGCTTTCTAAAGACATTTATTTATTCCGGGTCTGAGCCTTGCTGGGGTGCACAGACTCTTGCATTGGGGTCAGTAACTATAGAGCGGGTTCTCCAGTAATAATAAGCCCATGAAAAAACCGCCAATATTTCAGGTTAAATGCAAAGCCAGGAAACAAGGTCTCTGCAAGACGACCATGCCTGGATACATCATTCATTTCTAGTTTAATTACCTTGCTGATGAGGTAATCACTACCCTGGCTCAGGGGCCTATTGGGATTAAAACTTGACCTTTGGCTGGCTATTAACACTGCAGATCAAGGATGGCTCTGGCCAAGGGAAGCCCCAGCTCTTGGGTTCAGAGATGACATCATCCCCCCCAAAAAGAGGAAGCATTGTCTGGCCTCTCGGAGAGACCTTTGATCATGGGGAATAAATCCTTTGCTCATCTTTCAGCAGATTCTGTTCACAAATCAGCCCACTGAATGCTGGCTTCTAGGCAGAAATGAGCAGCACCAATTAAAAAATAACAAAGCCACAAGTTAGTGCAGGGCTCTTTCTTCTTCCCCACCCTGGTCTGCAACAATAGCAGCCTTCAGAAGCAAATTCCCCGACGAGCCGATCTGCACGGGCTGTGAGACGACAGGCTGAGGTGCATGGCTGCATCCCAGCTGCACGTGTGAGTGCCACGGCCCTTTCTGGCTGAGCCCGGGCACTGCCTGTAATGCTTCAGAGAAGACCTGTCATCCCAGTGCCAGCCGGTTGTGGGACAGCCGCTTTCCTACGCTGCTGTCACATGCTGCTGCAGCATGGCAGGGCTTTGGGTCCTGGCACTGGAGGAGCACCTGTGGAAGATCTCTGCTTCCTTGGGCTTCGCTGTAGAAGAGCAAGCGCGAGGAGCAAACATGCAGCTCTGATGGGCAGTCTAGGCTGGGACACGTGAAAGGGGATGGTTGTGTTTTCCATTGCCCCAAGGGCTATTCACAACCCAACTCGAGGCTTAGAGCTGCAGTGTTCACAGCCGGGCCCTGCTGTAAACACGACCCCAGAGGCAGTGGTGCCCGGATCATACAGTCACAGACAACAAGGGCTGGAAGGGAGCTCAGGAGGTCACATCTAGTCCAACTGCCTGCTCCAAGCAGAACCAGCCCCAACTACATCATCCCAGCCAAGGCTTTGTCTACCCAGGTCTTCAAAACCTCCAAGGATGGAGAGTCTATAACCACTGGGGAGCCTATTCCAGTGCTTCACCACCCTCCTAGTGAGAGTTTTGCCTAATATCCAACCTCAACTTCCCTTGCTGCAGCTTGAGCCCATTGCTCCTTGTCCTGTCATCTGCCCCCACTGAGAACAGTCCAGCTCCATCCTCTTTGCAACCTCCTGCAGGGAGGTGAAGGCTGCTTTCAAAACCCCCTCAGTCTTCTCTTCTTCAGACTGAATCAACCCACTTCCCTCAGCCTCTCCTCACCAGCCCTGTCCCCCAGCCCCTCAACTGGATTCTCTCCAACGTGTCCACATCCTTTCTGTAGTGGGGGCCCACAGCTGGACCCAGCACTCCACATGTGGCATCATCAGTGCAGAATAAATTGGAATAATTACCTCCCTCAATCTGCTGGCAACGCTCCTACCAACGCAGCCCAGGATGCCATTCGCCTTCTTGGCAACCACGGCACACTGCTGGCTCCTATTCAGCTTCTTGTCCACTGTCATCCCCAGTTCCCTCGGCCTCTCCTAACAAGTCATGTTGTCCAGCCCTGCAACCATTTCCATTGGACTCTCTCCGATTTGTCCACATCCTTTCTGCAGTGGGGGGCCCACAGCTGGACACAGGACTCCAGATGTGTCATCACCAGTGCTGAATAGAGGGGAAAAATCACTGCCCTCGATCTGCTGGCAACGCTCCTACCGATGCAGCCCAGGATGCCATTAGCCTTCTCGACACCAAGGACACACTGCTGGCTCCTGTTCAGCTTCTTGTCCCCTGTCACCCCCAGGTCCTTTTCTACAGGGCTGCTGCCAGCCAGTTGGCCCCAGCCTGCACCGGTCCATGGGATTGTTCCCTCCTAAGTGCAGGACTTTGCACTTTTCCTTGTTGAAGCTCATAAGATTTCTTTTTGGCCCAATCTTCCAATTTGCCTAGGTCACTCTGAATCCTAGCCCTACCCTTGGTTCTCCTGTGAAGCCTAGGGGAGCTGCACTGCCCCAGGGTCTCTTCCCCAGCCATTGTATGCATGGGGGCTGTGTGCTCTGCACCCCTGCTGATTGCTGCCCCATGGCAGGGGGCCTGTGAGGCAGTGGTAGGGCTGTAGCCCAGGCTCCTCCCTGTCTGCTCATGGGCTTCTTGCTTTGGTGAGCAGGTGACGGGGCAGCAAGTGCCTGCTAGCCCAACTAGCTGTGCAGGGAAGAGCAGACTTGTCCCCTGCCTGCCCCAGGCAAGCACTCTCCACCTGGGCCATAATGCCTGGTTGGAAGTCTGTGCCCCCTTCCCCTGGATTCAACGGGGTCTGCAGTCTCATACCCGGGGGCAGCCATGACTTCTGATCTGTCAGTCTACAAAGCAAACTTGCAGAGCTGGGGACCGAGCCCACGTGAGCTACCTGAACCCCAACCTGTGCTCCAAATATATCAGAGAGGAGTCTGTAGGTGCCACATTGCCACTGAGGGCAGTGAGGAAGGATGACAGTCCCCACTCAAATGCCAGCATGGTCCATGCAGACTCCCGCAGGTGCACGTGGTCCTGAGCTCGGACGCAGGGTCTGTCCTGTTCCTGGCACATCACTCGAATCATGTGACAATAGCAATGTCTTTTAAACAAAGCCCTATGGTATTTTATTTTCCAGATACTATTTTTTCGGAATGATAAAATGACAAAGGGGCATGTCAGCCTCTAAAAAGGGTCAGAAGCAGACAATTTGAATCTAATTAGGTTTTGGGGAATACGTGACAATGGATATTGGAATTAAGGGGGCACTAAGAAATCTTTATTTAAAAAAATAAATTTACAGATAGAAGTGATAGAAGCTGCAACGTCTAACGGACTGTCAGCAAGGATTCTGCCTGGCTGTATCTTTTACATTTCCCTTTCCCTAGAGGATGCAAACTCCCTCATCCGCTCTGTGGTTGTCCCTAACCAGCTTTCCTTTCCTGTTCTCAGACCATAGCAACCCCATTGCAAGGCCTGGACTGTGCATCACTGCAGGAGAGGTTAAAAATAAAAATACGATCAAATGAAAACCTCCCACCCCGGCATGGATGAAATGCTAGAAGCATGGGGTAACAAACTACTTCTACGCGTTCTTGATGAGGCTTTCAAAAACTTAAGAAAAATCAGGGTTACTACTGAACTCCCTGCATCTTGACAGCACTGTGTCAGTGTTGCCTACACGACCACTTTTGTGGCTTGGTTTATGATACTTTAAAAACAGTTATTAAAGTGAAGCATCAACAATAAGCCTTGAAGTCTGAAGCCTTTCTCCTCCCTGTGATTGCACTCCAGAATCATTATCTACTGGGGACCCTCTCCTCACCTACATCCACAGAGAGGCTCTTCCTCATTGCTTTCAATAGCTGACAATATTCTTTACAAGATAACACAGGCAGTTATATTGCACTGAGCCATCTGCTATATCATCCTTGCAGTTAAGGACTGGTGAGAGTGCTTTGGCTAATAGCGGACATAACTGACCATAAGCGTACCTGAAACTGGCCCGAATGAGAGCATTTTAATGGAGGTTTCTTCTCCTTTTAAACCCACTTATGCATAAAAGACACAGGCCTGGATCCTGTTGTCTCATCATGCAGGAATAACTATGGAGCAGCTCCCTGCTCGTAGCAAAGCTCTCGCTGGCATGGCTCCAGGGGAGATCAAACCGTGGCCCAGACCTGGTGCAGGCTGAAAGGTTCAGCTTTCCCAAGGACAGGTCTCTAGCCCTGGGCCTTTCCTTTCTCCAATTCACATCCATGGCAAAACTGCTGTGGCTGAGCCCCTCCTGCTCCACATTTTGTGCAAATAGTGTCCGCAGCTTCGCCTCCTTGAGCCTAACATCCTGTGACAGGTGACGGAGGCAAAAGGGGCAACGGTTACTCCCTCCACAATCACACTTCGTTACAGGAGCTGTTTAATTAAGCACACTCCTTTTGTTCTCCTGCGGAGCCATTTCTCACAGCAGAAGAGTCAACGTCCCATTTTTCCTATAAACACATTTCTTCACAGCTACACTTAATGGTGCGTGTGACTATTATGTACACAGTGTTTGTAGCAAGAGAGATTTCTACCAGCCAGAGTACTTTTTCCTCTACAACAGTTGGTTATAATTAGACCTCCATTTGTCTCCATGATTTTCCCACCATCGTGGAAAATCAGTAGGACCACTACTGAATGGGCAAAAGCAATTGGTGACAGACAGGGAGGA